CGACCCCGTTTTGGATAGATACGTGCCGCCAGCGGTCTAAATCCCTGACCCTGTCTAATTCAATCTGTGACTGGGGGGGGGGCTCAATATCTTCGGAACCAATTCGTCTATGAGCATGAAATTTTCACACAATGGTCGCCCACGTAAAACGAACCACCACATCCAGTCTTGACCCGTGGGAACCAAATGTGGCGTCATAATGACGTCATTTTTACCATTTTAACGATTTATAGAGAATGCTGCAATATCATCTGTTTATTATTGAAATGACTTCAAAATAATATTTTTGTATTTTTTAATTGACCCCTGTTCTATATGACGTCACAATGACGTCATAGATATCAGGTAATTTTTATAAATTATATATCTATATCTGGATAACCAGTTAAATATCATATTTAGGCGTTACTGCTCTCCTGTAATGTTGTGGTTCGTTTTGTATCCATGGTAACAGTTGTGACGTCATTATTGTGATGACTTTATTTCTTATAGTGTCTTTGTCGTCTTTGAATAATATGACTCCAAATCTCACTTTTTTTCGTCTACATCGTTTTTTTATGGTAAAATTTACAATTTGAGAAGTTTTTGAAGTTAAACAATTTGGAACAAGCAATTTTGAGAAGAATATCCGCCATCTTAGGATCCGCCATCTTGGACCGCCATCTTGAATTTTCTAAAATTCCATTAAAAAACTAAGCATTGAGGCAAACAGCTCAAAATGTCTTAAATACTTCCCAAACTAACATTTAATGAATAAAAAAAAGCGAGTTTCGAAGTGTTACTGATGATTTTAATGAAATTTTCTCCCATGTGAAAAAATGACAGAAAACWAMCCACCCSTCCCCCCAAAGTTTTTGTTGTCGAAAAAGTATTGTGGTATCGTAGAAAACAGGCTACAGTAAATCCCGGACAGTTATTGCTGTTCTATGATACGATTGTTTAAACCCTTTAAAGTACTGGTTCGTATGTAGAAGAACTGTCGATCGTATAACTTGAGATCTCTTCGCCTTTAACAGAAAACTTCCCGCGGCTATCCCAAATACTCAGATGAGAAATAAGCGGCAGAGTCTGACCTCAACAGTCGATATATAATTCCGAGTTTTGAAGAATATTTGTTCAATTCAAAGTGCGTGCTGTATGAGACACATCCACGGGCTTCATTTATCTACGAAGTATTGATTTATATCTCGTTAGTTTTAAAGATACAGTAAATCCCGAGCAGTTTTGCTGTTCTATGATACGCTTGTTTACAGCCGAGTTVGTAATGTGATATTTCGTTTAGAGATCGGAGTGCGATCGGGGACAAAGGTACACCCGAGTTCGCAATGTGATATGCATTCGGGACGCAAAGGTCAGCCYGAAGACAAAGGTCTCACATAGAAAAAAACAAAAAACAAAACTAAACTCGCTGCATTTTCTGACTTGTGACCCGGCCTAGGGCCTGGTCACGAGTAATAAGAAGTTTTTGATAACACGTTAATTCTGGGACAGTGAAACGGTATTTCTACTATTTCTACGGTGTTATGAAAATATTGCCCTGTCCAAGACGGACGGGGCCGCTGTCCGGACGTGCCGCTGGCCAGGGTATGGTTTTTGGCCTTGCTGTCTTAAACAGGGTATACATTTCACCCGAAATTGTCTTAATTAAACAGGCTCTACAATTTAGATAAAAGAGACCGATATAATTTTTTTGTGTGTCTTGGAAAAAAATTATATCGGTCTCTTTTATCTAAATTGTAGAGCCTGTTTAATTAAGACAATTTCGGGTGAAATGTATACCCTGTTTAAGACAGCAAGGCCAAAAACCATACCCTGGCCAGCGGCACGTCCCCGTTTAGCAAATATATGGGGATTGATCAATGTATAAATTAAAGCGCGAAGAAAAAWTTCTCTTCGCCTCATCAGCAATGTACGTCTTTGATGTTATTTTTATTTAAAACATTCATTTAATGTTCATTCTTTCGACTCGATGATAGGAATTAACAAAGCCAAACTCAAAACGCCCAGACGATAGCTTCAACCTGAGTGTCAACTGTAAGCGCGCCAACCTTGTAGTACCACCAAAGAAAGGAACAGCAATTATGTGGTATAATCACTTTATCGATGACGAATCAGGCTTACTGGGGGCCTTAGACGCATACTCCCTCCATGGCGGATGTGACGTAATTAAGGGTGAAAAATGGATTGCAAATAATTGGCTGACGGCGCCTCCTCCTGGACGAGAACATTTACAAAGTGTTTACGACATCGACTTCTAAATAAACTGCAGATATMGCAGGCAGATGACTGCTGGAGAACTGACAATAGTGTAGGGTACATTGAAGCAAGCTAGAACTAAAAACTGMAGCCTAACAAGCTGAAACCTTTGGGAAACAGCCTATCATAGGATGGGCAGTACCTATCGCTTGCTAGTAAATCTATTGAAGGTAGACAGCATGTATATAAACTGGTCATGCTAATGTCCACTCGACATAGTGACATAGTAAACTGTCTAGCGCTCCTGTCGACGAGAAACTACATTTATATCCTGATAATGAATGGATAGCAATAAAAAGTATTCAGCTTTTCAACAGTCCCCGTCTATTTTATTTCACACGTCTTAATTAAATTCATATGATCAAGCACCTGTTTTTTATTTTGTTTTACAGTTTTTTGTTGTTGTTATTTTGTTTAGCATAGTGTGCAAACACTAAGATCGTTAAAAAAAATACTAACCAAATGATGCTAAAAGATACGTAGTCGCAATGATGGCATCGCAAAAATAAAAGCAAAAGCCAGAAATCATTATAACTGAACTGCATGGCTATGGACTTGATAACGGCGATTGGTAACGATGTCTCGTATATGAGTGATACCGATGTTTATGTTGCAAAATTATTGTTTCAATTGAGTGCAAAAAAACAGTGGAAAAGTCTAGTGATACGCGTAATGCAGCCSGATTAAATATTCAAAGATTGTCTATTTATACAGATAATTCAGAAACATTGAATACTGAAGATAGTGTATTCCAGGATCGAAATGGCATTGTCTGTGGTGCTATCATCGTTAAAAAGGAGGGTTTTCGTGGTTTCAGAGTGATTACACTATCCCAGTAACAGTCACAAGAACTTCAATGGAAAGCARTAATGCTTAGAATTGTCATCTTGTAATGTGTGGCTAAAGTGGAGTTTAATAGCAACAATGTACGGTCTTGGAAAGCTCTATTCAGTACATAGTATAGCTGTATAATGTATTTAATTATGGTTCGAACAGTGTGAGTGCTGAGATTTGCTGCTCTCACAAAAAAGAAAGTGTTTTTATGTATAATTTAAARCACGAGAGAGAGAGTGTTTGGCCTTCAAAAACTCCAACACTAATTTGAAACTCAAATCCGYTAAAATTCTTGGAGAAATTGCCGTGAAAATAAGTTTTGAGATAAATGGGGCAAACTGATCATGCGCGAATCACTTTACAAAGCCCTCTTGTACGGTGGCCGACAGCGGCCATTTCAAAAAGTCAAAGTGAAAAATGTCAAACTTCAACCGGGCTGCGTGGAGTTTAATTCTGGAAGGATAATACAACTTTCAGCCAAATTCGATGGCAATATTGTTAATAGAAAGCAATATAATGAATAAAATGTCATTAAAAGTACCATTTTTGGCAGAAAACGCTTAATAACTCTTTGAGTTTTCATTCAAACGCAATATCCCGTCGCCATATTGTTTCTTAAATCTTATTACGTCATGTAGTACGAATTTATATCGATTTTCTATTGATTTTCCTTTCAAAATCCTTCGTAATCTATGTGAGATTTTTCTCAGATTTCAAGGCGACGATTGAAATTTCCCATCGTAGTTACAAGAAATCCGTGCCTTTTTACAGTAGTTCCTCGAAAAAATGGACTATTTTTATGAATATTGGTCATCTTTAACCTATCGATTGATGTAAAAAAATAACGAAGTTTTTTTTCGACCGGGAGCCATTCCTACCACCTTAAATGCTAGGCAATATCATCCATCCTTTTTAAAAAACAGCTTTTCCAAAAACGTTGTCGGGGAGAACGGCGATTGTCGAAAGGAGATTGCACGACCGAAAGGGACTATGGTTACACTGTTTTGATAAACAAAATTTCACTTATTGGATTCACCTTACATGGAAATGGAGACTAAATGGAGTTAATGTTTACCACAGACTATCTTACAGTACAAATCAGTTGATATTTCCATTCAATTAGCAGAACCCATGGATACTTTCGGTCGTGCAATCGCCGTTGGACCATTGACATTCACCATTTTATCCGACAACCTTTTTTGAAATAGCTGTATCCATACCCGAGGTTTTCATGTCGATATCAATATTACTTAATGACAGCGTAGGAACGAGGTAKATGGGATCGTTATTTTGGGCTCCAAGGATCGCATTTTCCTACTTTTTTTGATCTGGGCTTTGGATCAGTGTCATAAGATGGGATCACAAATGTCATTTAGGGATTGGCAGATAGGGCTATTAAATTAATGTTTTGGTCGAGAGAAGTACTATTACCGTAGAGCGTTCTTTGAACTCCTTAGGAGTCGAGTACCGATTAAGTTGTACAAAGAAGGATGGTCAAAGCCACACGCAAAGCGCGGGAAATTTGAGTAGAATTCGCAATCCTGGACAAAAACGCCATTGAAACGAGAAGAGGCAACTAAACGTAAATACAAAAAGAAACATACGTACGTCTCTTCATTAACTTTTGTTAAATGTACTTTAAACAAAAACTCGCACTACTGAACAAATGGTACTCGTGGTCCACCGATTTCCTGTACAGTCAAAGTAAGGAGGTATGGTGGATCAACCCAACCCCTTACGGCCACAGGTAGCCCAGCACTTGTTCGCTTTATTCCGAATGCTTTTTAGGGATAAATAAATAAATAAAAARAAGTCAATATAATTGATCAATGTCCATAAAATGTATTCAAATTCACCTATGAACAACGATACAAACATTAGGAAAAAGACAGTCTACTTCACTGCAAGGTTCTGTAACCTTGCATAGATGCTGAATAAATTAATTACAATGCACTGTGTGAGTTTGAATGCACTTTATTGGCATTTATTAATTTTATTGAATTGTTTTGTTTTCTTTATAAAACATTCAGAGCAAAGTGGACAAGTGCAAAGCTTAGTCCAATATTGCTGGTATAACAWAGATCAAACTGGGAACTGAATGATGAAATATAGTCAACTTTTAACTGCAGTCAGATATGTTTTTTTCCAATACTGTAGCAATAATTTGCATGTTATAAAGAGGTATAAATGTATCAAAATATTTTATTTCCTAGTCATTGATCTTATTTATGATGAAAACAATGCTTACAACACTTGAACAATTACAAGTCTACATTTTGAGAATCCTTGATATGGTTTACATCAGTTATAATTCCTCCAATGACCCACTGCGCTGAGATAGTCTTTGTCATAATCATGCATGATGTAATGATAACCGAAACAAATCATTCAAGACATAATAGGATTGTAGCTCTTTGTCTTCAGGCATTAGTAAAAAGGTTTGACTGAAGCTGTGCGGAGGATCATTGTCAGTCTACAAAACAAACCAAGGAACAATTCAAATTCAATTATAATTATTTGAACAAAATCAACATATTTCAATAAAAATTAGCTGCACAATAATTTATGTCTAATTCCTGCATTCATAATGATAATTCTTAAGGTGAATGTCAAGTTAAGATTTGCTATTTGGATTAAATGCCCTTATGTATTTCCAGTGTAAACTGAAGGCTGGGAATACGTGATTTGCACTGTAATTATTGTATCACATTTCAGAATGCTTTGCCCACTTCCTTTTTGCCAGTTGTTTTACATATGTACTAAAAATCTGAATAATAAAATATAATACTAAAAGCCAGTTGTAGTAATAGAAACACTCTCTGATAGAGTACAGACACTAAAACTGTGCAACATAAATACCACTAAATACTGCTAAATTATGCTAATTCTATTGTTTTTTATTGTGTTTAATTAACACTATTTTGTAGTAAATACAAAATTACAAACATACAAACTTTCCATATGCTGGTTCAGTGACCACGAACAAAACATGGAACCGAGGCTTCAAGGAACACTGATCACAGATGTTGTTCACTGTACATGTACCTTGACTCCTCGGTTCAATGCTTTATTTATGGTCACTGAGCCTGCGTATGGAAAGTCGTGAAKAAGTACTTGCTATCCTTAATATAAGCAATAACTAGACGCTTGTAAAGCGTGATGCGGGCTAGCTTAGCAAAAGATTCACAATAYAMRAKAWAAAWWKTRTMTC